ATGTCAGCACTCTCACGTTACTGGGATTGGATTATTTTAAGTACTTCATGAAAGTTCTCCAAATAATGTGTAATGTATAAATGGATTGGATGTACGTCTACTGGCCTAACGATGTGGAATTGATCGTTAATTATCCTCAATGTACCAACAGGGTCGAAAAGTATACCAGAGCTCTTGTCGATGCTATTGACCATTTCCGGTTGCAAGAATAGCAGCACAAAATACGATGGTGGTTCTGTAAAATAATAATTAAAAGCTTACTAATTCTAGATTCCATAATAACGTGTATATAATGTAAAAGAAAAAGTGTATAAATAGAGTGTAAATGTCAAAATATATGTCTTAAAAGAAATGTAATTTTGTGAATGTGAATGTTTTAAAAGAATGTGAATTTGCTATTATTTACGGATTTTATCGCGTTTAATTACTTTAGTTTATTTTTACTATCCCGACGTTTCGGGTGCTTTACAGCACCCAAGATCACGGGCGGACTGAGATGTTTGACATCCCAATGTCATAGTTAGTCCGGCTACCTTAAGTTTTTGAATATTAATTTTTGGTCCGATTTACGTCGATTTACGAAACGTCGGGATAATAAAAATAAACTAAAGTAATTAAACGCGATAAAATCCGTTAATAATAGTTTTATTCAATGTGTAGTGTTCGCGTAAATTTAAGAAATCATTATGTGAATTTGCGTTTTGAAAAGGTCATCCGTAAAATTTGTTCCTTGATCGGTAATTATTGATTTAGGGATGCCAAATTGTGAAATGAAGTGAACTAGCGCTTCGCATGTTAATTCCTCGGTAACATTGGAAATTGGATAGGCTATGGAAAATTTGGTTAAATCATCTTGGACGGTAAGTATAAATCGGAGTTTGTGAAAACCTGCTTCGGGTAAGGGGCCTAGTATGTATAAACTTATTTTTTCAAATGGGCGTGTCGAAGTGGTTGTGATTCGCATAGGAGACCGGTTATTTTGCGTAACGGTTTATTTGTTTGGCAAAGTTTGCTATATCTATACCTGCGCGAATGTTAATTCGATATCTCTGTTAATACAGGTTAGATTACAGAGTTATGATATATACTTATTTTTATATTTGTGTTATTATATAAATACATAGGCATGCCGTATATTTTGATAAACGAATGTTGTTCGAATAGATTCTTAAAATCAGAAACTGCGATTTCATTATTATTACCTTAAAGTATAATGTCGTCTATTGCGGCTTTTAAGGTTTTTAAGATATAATTTTGTGAAGAGAAAATAATAAATTTTCGTCAAAATCGATAGATACGGGAATTAGGATTAGTTTTGCAGTGTATATGTGTCTACGTTGTATATATATATATATATATATATTTATGATGTGTGTGTGCGTATGTATTGAGTTATGTTTACTATTTCTACAGAACTATTGTTATCTTAATATTTTCTAAAATTTTTGCACTTTGAACCCTATTAAAATGCTTTTTCTGATTAACCATTTGTATTTGTTTGTCAATTTAACACAAAGACGCGTATAAAACATCATGAATAAATATATTCTTTCGTTTTACTTAAATTCTTTTCAAAGTATATGGTAATAATTTTAAATTCTAATAGAATTTAAAATTATTACCATATACTACATACCACAAAATTTTAACGAGTAAAACTCACATTTTGGATAAGAATATTTGTTAAGTTCAAAGAACATTCTGCGGAAAGTTCATTAAAATTAAAATTGATTTATTAATTAAGAAAATTGTGAATCTATCTCGGAGCCGTAATTAGCTTTTCCTTATAAAATTAGACTTCAGGGTCACATCGCACACATAAATATCGCTTCACACTATGTTTTTAAAATATAAATGTACAATAAGTAGATCTGCGAAGATTTTTTTCCTAATAAATTTTGAAATAAATTAATATTTAAGTAAATATAATATTTTAAGGTTTATGCAAATATTTTTCACAATATAATGATTTTTTACTATAGTAAGCATTTCATAATATTTTTCTCATTTTTGTCTGGTATTTACCATACCAGTTAAACACTGTCTCTTCTTATGAAATATTATGCAGAGTAAATGTACTCGTCAACAAATTCGAGCTTAGTGCTTCCAACAACTACCTGCATAGGTGTGACATGGACGTTACACATAATCTATGTTTTGTCCACGTTCATCTTGAGACCTATTCGCTTAGAGGCACTATTGAGGTAATAGTGTTTAGGTCTTCCAGCATCCTGGCATAAGGACTATATCGTCGGCAAATCGAAGGTGAGTGGTCCACTTGGCATTGATGTTATTATTTTTTTATTAATCGAGAAAAGAAATACCACAGAAAGTAAATGTTACCCAAAATATCGATACCTTTGAATATATAAAACTTAAATGAACAAATAATAACAATAAATAATAATAATGAACAAATAATAAATATTTTACGTATATTGTTTACTGACAAACGTAAAAAATGATAAAAGTAAACCTTACTACGGAATCGTGTCCTAGTTTTCTAACCGCAGTATTTTCCGTAAATATTTTATGACACCTACAGTTGTATTTACGTACGATAAATATCCCAGTGACAAGTTTGCTCAAAACAAAATGGAACCATTATGTATGCTCCGGAAATATTTGGATGATAACAGAAATTAAATGTCCAAAGCATTAAATTATGAGAAACATTTCATGTGTCATTTCAACATAGACATCTTCATGTGTCGTCAGTCAACTCAGCATTCAGCCGAAGTAAAAAAGTTATCAAGTAATTAAAAAAAATCGTTACCTGTATTTCCCATTATTCATTCATTATTAAATTAATCGTTGTTAGTCACTAAATGAAAAGTCCAAGGGCGCAGCGAAATTTTTCTGGTAAGCTAATAGTTTTTTTTTTTCTAAACTATTCACGTGATAACAGTTAAAATATTTTTTTTTAAAGATAAACATACATTTATTAAATTTTATCTGATTAAGTTTACTTTAGTTAATATGTCGGGTTTTTAATTTTTTTATTAAAGACCCAACTTTGTTTAGAATATAAATATATAGATGTATGATGATGTATATATAAATGTATTATGGAGTGAAAACCTGGTAAGACATGCAGGAAATCAATGGATGCAGGTGGCTCAAGACCGTACTTTGTGGCATTCCTTGGCTTATGTTAAATATATGGTAGCGGGCTAAGAAAATCCATTGCCAAATTCGACTCAATTGTGTTGCAACATCCGACTTGGATAACAATGCCTCATAGCCTCCGAAGAGGCGCACAGATAAAGATGCGATACGTCTGATATCAGTATCGGACGTATCACATCTTCATTTTGATGGTAGTACTGTAATTAATCTTTAAGACAAGTCCTTCTTACAATATTACAGGCCTGCGTTCAGCTGCAGCGAGTACGCGGGTTAACAAAGAAAGGAAGACAATCAATATCACGAATCAAACATTTATGCATCCAGCCTGAACTTAATGGAATATTAAATTTAAATAAAAATTGTATTTAAATTGTATATTTACGATTTATTTACAGTTCTGTGGAAGACAGGATTTTTAAAGAATTAATTGATAGAGTTGATCATTATTATATAGCACTGTTATATGATTAAAAATAATATATAATAAACGTAAAATGGAAAATAACTTTATTAATCACAACGTTTGTGATTTCCTTTACTGTCTGCGTGAACCGATGAGGTTGTGCCGTATGGCGGGATTATTTCCAGTTGTTGGACTTACCAACTCATTTGTACTTTCTATGGGGTGAGTAAATAAAAAAGAAAAATATCTTTTGTCTCTTAATGAAATATAGGGTGGCGTAACAGATTCTATCACCCATTTCGTTCCGTTGGTATCGTAAAGGGAGACTACGGGCAGTGTCAGATCGTATCAGGCTTCCGTTGAATGGCAGTATAATGATGTCGTTGATTCAACAACAAAGATATTCTTATAATGTCCAGAAATTCAAAGGCACGAGACGTCTTGTTAGATTGAAGTGGGATGATAATGTTTTATAGGAGTAAAAATGATATCGTTTCCTCTGCCTCAGTGAGTTTGAGTGTCCTCGAGTCATTTTTAGTTTCTCAGAAATACATGTTTCCTTCTCCTCCGAGGTGGTGGTATCAAAGCGGCATATCCTATATTTATTGATTAATGATGGGGAGAATTCCGAGTTAAAAATCTTATATTTTAAAATCTTATTTTTAAAAAGTTTATATTTGTACAACGTGCAAATTATTTTGTAGTCTGTATATAATGTGATTTTACGTGTTTCACATTTCTAATGTTTTTTTTTTTATTATTGCAGGTACAGTATTAAATTTCCTTACATATTGTTCCACGCTGCATCAGTAATTTTACTAACAATCACAGCGGGATTCAGTCTCATCTGGTTTTTTCTAAATCCTCTTAGTTTAAATACATTAAGTAATTATTATTTATTTTGTAACTTAAGTACACTGCTTCTTTACGTGCTTAATAATATTAGCTAGACATTTATATGCATGTATATAATGAAATATTTATAATTCAGTTTTCAATACAAAACTTTGCAGACGAATATGAACCTATGACAGTAGAATAATTCGATGTCTTCTTCGAATGATAATTATTACTAGGATTATCACACCTTATGACACTGTCCTATAGTCATCGCTCGCGCGATGATGCGATGCGTCCGACGAAAATGATCGTGCGACCGTGCGTTTAAACATACTCATATCTGCGGAAAGTCCTATTGAACGTCGTGCGATTATGAAATGCGACTGAAGAAATCGCGCATGCGCATTCATCGGACGATGAAATTGTATCGCATTATCGCGCGAGCGATGGTAATAGGACAGCGCTCATGACTAATACGTGTTGCTTAAGTTTTTTAAATCGCATTATTCATAAACATATTTGTTATACATTAAAAAATTATAATTCTTTAAAATTGTCAAAATTTTCAGGTATTGTAGTGTTTTACGTGACTAACTTATTTGGCTCAGTACTATTAATTCATCTCGCAATGAATTGGTCGAAGCTAATTAAGAGAGTGCTTGAAATCGAAGTTAATTTAGTGGAAATACGAAGATCAAAAACAGCGTTTTGGAAATGCAATACCATTACTTACGTGGTAATGTTCTTAGCATTACGTAAGTTTTTCTTTAATTATATTGTTTTATTTTTTAAGCATCAGCGCATTAATATCCACTGCTGGACGTCTTTGGTACCATCAATGCTCGTGGATTTTACATTAATTTTTCTTTCTATCATAATGTCCCCCGAACCGAATTTTGGTCACAGTGAACAGCCTTATCAGAGACTAGGGCCCAAAAGTATGCGCAAGCACAAGTACACCCTCTAGTCTCTCACCCTCGTAGTCCATTTGGGCGGTTAATCTGACACAGCCCGAAAGAGATAGCTAGGCTTTACATGCTTTCGGAGACTCGGAGATGAGAATTTCCTACATTTCGTGACTCCTGGCTGTTACTGAGAATTAATTGATAGAAAAATGCACTAACTTATTAAGACCCTACCCGGGACTCGAATCCGGTACTCATAACGAACAACCACGTTTACGACTACCAGACAAACGAGGCAATCAAAGGCAAAAGGTAGGTCAAAGGTGACTGCCTTTCACCATGTCGTAAGAGACGACACATTAATAACTACTAAAAAAAAACTGTTGCTGACACGTCTGCCCAGCCTGGTAACTATCCTGACTAGGGTATCCATCCTGTACAGACACCAGACTCTGTACCCTTAAGAACATAGTTTATACTATACCTTTGTTAACCTAAATTGTGAGTGTAAATGTATTATTATTATTATTATATCGCTATGAAACAATCAAGGGCTATTATTTATCAGTGGCCTTTTGGTAGGCTGTATTTTCTTAGGCCGTAAGCACACGGCACACATTGCTTGTAATAAATAAAAAATGTTGCAGTTGAACATGCAATGTATAAAATTTCAACAATTATGAAGGTCATGAGTGATTTTAATGAATCAAGACTAAGCGACAATGTTCTTGAAAAATATTTCTCAAGTTGGGCACCATTCATATTTGATTTAACATCTTACAGTTTGTGGAAATCTATTATATTTATGGTAAGCTTGAATTTATTGTAATATTTTCAACGGAGTTCAATTAACGAGAAGTTTGTATGTTTGGTGCGTTTTTATGTATGTCCACCGATTTCTCGGAAATAGCTGAACCGATTTAAATGATTCCTCTCTTTTTAATAAGTAACGTCAAGTGTAATCCCAAGAAAAACTCCATCCGTACGGGTGCAAAATGGGGGATGAAGTTCTAAACCTACCTATTTAAAAGACATGAATGTTTAAATCCTGCGCGAGCGCGCCCTTTTGCAGCGCTGCTGTCAATGCACACTCGACATGCACAATCGAATCAATCGAAACTCCTCCTTCAGTGTTCTTTGCTATATAATATTAACATAATGCGAACACTTTCTATTAAATTAAAGTAATTTTTTGTATTTTATGGCGTTTAATGTTTATTTTTTAAATCCCAACTTTTTAGTCTCTGGTGCTTCTTCAATCAAACGTCTCAGTCCCCCCTGACCATGTCGTCGTAACAAAAAAAATATAAAAAGAATAAAAGTCGCATATTTCGATCGCAAGGATCATAGATGTTAGTAATTATTCAAATCTTAAAACTAATGTTAGTAAAACTTAAAACTATTTGCCTAATTTTAAAACTATATCTAAGACAGGCCCGATTAGTCAGCACGTGCACCATATGACAATGGTTCAGGTACTGACAATCGAACCTGTCAGAAAATGCCCTCAGGATATAGTCAGGTCAGGATACCGTAGGCCATTGGAACTGGCCTGCACCCTGCACACCAGGGATGTGCATCGTTTACGTACGGTAGTGTAGAAACAATCTACACGCACTTCCGCGAATATACCCAACGCACTACAATAACGAGGCAGACCCAACAGCACCCTGAATGCATTATTGTATTGAATACGCAGGGCATTATACTGTTTTTGCGTGCAGTCAGAAAACAATACTGAAGAGTACCAGTGTAATTCAATGAATGTGAAAAGTAACGTCGGTAGTCCTAGTACCTAAACAGATTAGAAGGAGACAGTATTACTTAATTCATTCATTATTGTGCGTATGGCACTTAACTAGCTCCTCCTTCTTCTATCTGATTGGTAATTAGTGCACATCATATTATCCGACTAAAAGGTACCTTTGTTTTGTGTTTCGCCTATCTGAGTTTAAACTCGTCCCACTGGAAACATATTTCGTTTTTCATATTGTGACTGCGATTGGATATAATAAGACAATCGTCGACAAAAATAAGGGCGCCCGTACACATTACGTTAAGTGATTTTTACTTTCGTGATTTACTTATACTAGACAAGATTTATAGTCTTTTACCACAACTCAAATATAGATTTTCAAATTTAATATTTTCAAATTAGATTTGCAAAACCAAATAAAAGAAGACTGGAAATATACAACGATACTGGAGGAGAGAATTGAGGATATGCAAATGGGAAGCCGTAAGATGAATTTTGAAATCAAAAACGTTCCTAAAAAAGTTAATGAATCTAAAGAGGACTTAATAGACATGGTAATGTGCTTATCGAAAAGTATTGAGAGTAATCTTAACAAAGCAGATATAAAAGATATATATCGTATTCGTAGTAAAAGAGAAAATATCCGCAATACTCCCATTGTGGTAGAGACTTCGCCAACATTGCTAAAAAGAAACATATTAAAAATGGCAAAATCTTTTAATAACAGACACAAAACTAAACTTCGTGCAAAACACCTTGGTTTTCGTACGGCTGAAGATACTCCCATATACATAACCGATCATCTAACTGCTAAAAGTAAACGATTACACTTCCTAGCTCGAGATCGAGATCTTGTCAAAACAAAAAAATACAAATTTTGTTGGACTGCCTACGGAAAAGTTTATGTTCGCAAAGATACACACCACCTCAAATAATAATCATAAAGAACGAAGCCCAGGTTCATCAGTTATTGCATACCGCATGACTAGAACAGAACGCGCAATTTTTTCTAAATAATGAAATTTCTTTTTTTTTTCTATATTTCGTTTAGTTCGTAAGTTTTTTCTAAGCATTGTAATTAATTCACTAATCATCAGTTCTTATATGTATTACACACAACTTATACATTCTTACACACAGCTTACACTTGCGTTTATTAAAACCCTATCACTCTCACTATCACAAAAATGATCATATATAATACTATTATTAATATACAACTCACTCTTAAAATGAGCTCTTAAAATTCTAATAATCTAGAACCGTATACGAGAAAAGCAATTTACATATTAGGATGCAAACATATCTTTTTATCTATAAATGTATACATAATAATGCATATATTAGTTATTTACACAATATATACACATATAGACGACAGCTAATACTCCTACTTCCGAAATGGACAGCTCTTCAATTACCTGGAAAGAATTGGATAAAATTGAAATTGCAAACGCTATTGAGTGCGACATTGAAGACCTCTCAAATTACATTACTGTGAAAAATAATGATATAACCATAATATCTCAAAATATAAGAAGTGTGTATAGTAACATAGATGACCTAAATTTAACACTATCTTGTTTAAAATTTAAACCTGATATTTTGATTTTGACTGAATGCCGTCTAAGCCTCAACAAAACAATTCCATGCATTACTAACTATACTCATTTTGCTACAACCTGTCACCTCAATCAAAGTGATGGAGTAGTAGTCTATATCAAAAATACTATAAATTCTAAGGTTAAAGAAATAAAATTAGAACACGTTTCATGCTTACAAATAGACGCATATAGCAATACAATCTTGGGAGTATACCGCTCCATCAAATACAAACGCCAATAAATTCATTAATTCGTTAAGTTTGCATTTAGAAAACATAAAATCAAAAGAAATCATGATTTTAGCTGGCGACATAAACGTTAACATTGCACCTAAAATAAATGAAAATTCATATAAACGTAGTAACAGAGAAAATTATTTAAATATGTTAAGTATGCACGACTTAATACCCGGTCACTACTTACCCACAAGAGAAACCAGTTGCCTAGATCACTTCATTCTAAAGCTAACACAAGGTAAGGTAGGTCTATGCTCAAATTGCCTATCTTACGTACAACAATTACTGATCACTCAATGATACTACTAAACCTATCTAACTTAAAATTAATAAATATTGCACAAAGACAAAAACAATTACAGATTATAAAAAGTGCCTTTAACAGCTTATTACAAAGTAATCTTACTGAATTACTTTTTTGTGACAATCCCCATACAGTTATGGAAATGTTAGTTAATAAATTGAGTAAATCATTACAAGAAAATACAAAGATTGTGCATCTTCCAAAAAATAAACGCATCTTAAAACCTTAGATAACACCTGGCATTGTGCGTTGTATTACAAATCGCAATAATTTGCAAAAAAATTTGCGTTCCGATCCTTACAATGAAATTCAAAAAACTGTATGTAAGAGATATCGTAACTTTTGTAATAAAATAATAAAAAAAAGCAGAACATAATTATGAAAGACAAGTCCTGCGGATGTCTCTCAACAGCAGTAAAAGTCTTTGGAGAAATATTAAAAAAATAGCGCATTTAAATCAAACAAAAATTAGTAATATTATTACAAGCAAAAGCAACACGCCATTAGATTCGGTAAATTATGTTAATAACTTCTTTGCCAATGTAGGCAAAAATCTTGCCAAAAAATAATAACTAGAAATAACGATAGTAAATGTATAACACTGGTTGGACAACCCCAGCTTTCATCCTTTCTCTTGCTAGATACCGATCCTTACGAGGTACATCATGTTATAATGAGCCTAAAATCTAACAGTGCTCCTGGATGGGATAACATTCCAGCGCACTTTCTAAAACTTGCAGTAACTCAAATTACTCCTATAATCTGTCACTTTGTAAACATTTGTTTTAAGCATGGCGTTTTTCCTCAACCTTTAAAGCAAGCTGTTATAATACCAGTGAAAAGGAACGGGAACGAGGGGTCGCTTGCTACTTGATCCAGCTGCCAAGGAGCAATTGAAAAAGGACAGGAACGAGGGATCGTTCTTGTCACGGCTCGTTCAGCAGCGGATTTCCTACCCTCCTATGACACCTACGTTGGGTTCGGGAACAACGTACGTGAACCCCGCAACGGAGTAACACACAAGGACGTCGACCTCTTCTTTTTCTTCAAATAGGTTCAGGCGGGGATTACGGGTCTTCCGAGGTCGTCCCGGTCCCAACGCCTTAATTCTTCAATATGTGCCGCGCTAGCGACACCAATGAACTGTACTTATTTTAAAGGTGAAGGATTCCTTGGGAATAAAACAGTAATTATCTTCAAACCGTTCCGTGAGAGAGTAATTACTATCCCTATCACTTACCTATACAATTTTCTTTCTTGATTATATTATATACTGGTAACTGGTTCCAAACGATTTGTATGTCGTTGTTGTCCTCTGCAGGGCATAATGCCGTGCAGGTCTCGGGCCCCGGGGTGTACCCCTTTACCCGGATTTTCCTCACGGCACAATACAGTGTGCCGCTCCTGGGCGCCTTGATGGTGAAGGCGTTGTTTTAGCGACTTTTGTCGCAGTCGGTTAAATTATAATTAAAGATGGTTATCCAAATAATTGTGTTTAATACAAATTATTATGTCAGAGTTGGCCTTTCTGCGGCATTGTGGAATTTACTCGACTCCCTAATCTATATAGGGAGGAGTTCTCTTGGATAACGATTTGTATGAAAACGTATTTACTGAGGTATCACCAAGCTATACGCGAAAGAGAGCCGCGCCCTCTGTGCGATTACGCTACCTAATTACATCAATTTGTACTATCACTCACGGTTTGCCCAATATCTTTATTTGTATAAGACATACATTTATACATTTTATTTATAAAGATAGCACAAAAAATATCTATACTATGATATACATTACATTTTTATATCACAAAAAAGTTGGGTAGTCGGGTAGACTTAACGGCTCTTGCTTTCTTAGCGCGTTTACGCTTTTCGGCGATTTTTCTTCACCCGTTTCTAAGCTATTTAT